TTTGAATCGTAGAAGTTGACCATACGACAATTTGTTTTGTTTACAACGGGGTGTTCGATATTGAACGCTAGTATGTTTCGGTCATACTCATATACGTAATAAATTCTCAGCATGCAGTAAAACGTCAAGATCTTGTACACTCCAAATCTCTAGATTTTTAATATTTTTTTAGAGACTATATATTTATTAGCTATATAATAAAAATAGCTATAAATTTGATAAGTCATATCATTGGTTTATTTTAGATTTTAGTGACCTCTTACGATATATATATATATATATATATATATATATATATATATATATATATATATATATATATATATATATATATATATATATATATATGCAAAGCACAGAGAAATTCACTTTTACAAGGATACCCACTTCCGCCCCAGCCCGGGGTTGAACTCTCGACCTTATTTATCACAACATGTATTGGTAAGGATCCTCTAAAAACTAATGTCCAAATAACTGTATCTCACTTCCATTCTCAATGACCATATAGTGTAGGGCAGCGTTGTGAGAATTCCATCGGCATCGAAAGCAAGGTTTTTAACTTGCCTAGATAGCCGAGCGGTCTAACGCGCTGTTCCTGCACTGCTAGGAGACAGATTCCGTAGGTCGAGAGTTCAACCCCGGGCAGGGGCGGAAGTGGGTATCCTTGTAAAAGTGAATTTCTCTGTGCTTTGTATATTAATATTCCTTCACTTAGGGCAGTTATATTAGTTTAAGAGTTGTTGTAATTTGTGCTTTATATATATATATATATATATATAAAATGAAAAATATATGATATAATATATATAAATATATAATTATTTAAAATGACCGAAAGCTGCACTAAAAAATCAAACTGATCTTTAGCTTATCTTATCATTGTGAAGGTCGTTTAATGCTTATGTTACGTCAAATTATAGGTACGTTGCAAATTTAAATAAAAACAGTGCAATACATTTTATCTTGACAATTTACAATTTCATGGGGACATAATGATTTTAATTTTGATCTCCCTGTCACTTGAAGGATATCTATAAATAATTTGATTTCGCGAGGCATCATGATATTAAGGTTTAGTACGTATATGCTCAGTATTCTTCTAGACTAATGAAGATTGAATTTTTTTTCATATGCAGGAAAAAAAATCATATCAACCTATGAAAAGAAAGATTGGTAGGTTTATGGTTCTCTCACAATTTTAACAAAGATACAATGTTTCCAAAAAATTAATTTTTTTTTCTCTCGAAGGAAATTTTTTCACTCTCTGTCCGCTTAGGTTTTTCTGGTGCAGCATTATGAAAAAATACTTATCCTTATTCACGAATTACCTTAGTATAATTGATTCAATTTAACAGAAATGATATGCAATATGTAAAAAAAATGCTTTATCTTTTTCTTTCTGATTGGACTATTCAGTTGATACGTACATGCAAGAAAATGCTAATCATCATAGGCTTTCTGTGTGATTTTAGATTTTAGCAGCTGTTTTAAGTAAGTGTAAGGGCATATTCAAGTTTTAATTCAGAGCTTATTTTATAAGTAGTTTTTAAACTAATTTTTAAAAAAAAATATAAGTGCTGATATCCTACATTGAACGCACGCTTTCATGGATTAAATCCTATTTGATTGTTTAAATTCTGGTATTATCTAGTACATGAAATATATACGAGGGTTGTTAGAAAAGTCGGTATTGAAGTATCGATGGAGTTAATCCTTCCATTTATATGAAGTCACAACCATTTGAAAACTTCTGTCCTTTGTGTGTGTATTGTGTGTGTAGGAAATTCCCGACAGCATCTTGAAAATTTTAATCTCTTTTAGACGTTTAACTGTCTACACTCAAAATTTTTACGTAGTGCAGACCTCCATGACGCTCAATGACGTTCCGATTTTTGGGTGTGTTGTACCCGGTGATCATTTATAAATGGCTATAAAACAGTCATATACCCTCAAATGTAATTCAAAAATTCTCCAAGTGACGTTTCATGAATACTTCAGCGAAAGGTAAAATACCATAACTCTTTACGCTACAATTGTGCAATTTTTAATTTTAATAATGAGTCTTTGTAATGTAAACGTGCCAAAATGGAGCATGCTCCGTGAAGCAAGATTTATCAAAATAAAAAAGCCGTATATTTTTCAATGATCACCGGAGAGCACCAAACTTTTATATATTTATTGGAAGATAGGTTAAAATATTATCTGAAAAATTTGACCAGTTTCGTGGAAATAGCGCGCTCACAATATAACTTGTCCGCGAACTTTTCTAACACCCCTCGTATATAAAAAACCATTCGTTTTTCAAAATTTCAACAGGATCACAGCAGTGTTCTTTGGTGTTAATATTTGTAAAGTCTTTATGTAACAAATTAAAGTTATCCTTTGAGCAAATGCCCTTGCACTTTAAGGATTTATCAAAGCCTTTATATTTCTTTTAAATGTGTGACAGTATTGGTTAATTAGGAAATGCACAAAAATGAATCAATATAATCATTAACTCTTCAAAAAATGAAACGTATAGTTGAAATTTATTGACACAATGAGCATCAATATTAATTAAAATAATGTATTCATTTAATCAAAATTTGTTTGGAGTACTTTGCAAAATTAGCTCTTTTTGTCTGTGCGATTCGTAGAATAGCTTGCAATTAAGAATTGTAATAAAAAATTAACTCATTGAATGATATCTATTTAAAGTTAATTAGTGATTTAACATTTTTGAGGGTATTGTATCTACTATGCGTTTCATTTCTTGAAGAAAATACACTGCATCTAAGGTATTGTGAAATATCTGCATACTAGTATTACAATTCATTATGTTTTATTGTAAATATATTTTTATGTAATCGAAGATTCGATAATATATAGTTTACATCTTATCTGTAGAGTATGGAGTTCACATTTATTAAATGTTAAGGTATCACCTAAAATATACTACAGAGGGAAATTTTAACTCCCTCTGTCAATACATATATCAGTTTCTTGGATACACGCAAAGCATTTGATACAGTCTCTAGACAAGGATCAATGTACAAACTCCACAATTTAGATAATCAAGGCAAAATTATGGCAGGTTATAGACGGCTGTCATGGCAATACTGTAGGCGCCTAATTCTAAACCAAAAACAATCCGGATGATCAGGGGGTCGGACAAAGAAGCGTCTTGTCAACATTTTTGTGTCTTGCTTTTGTAAACGAACGTTTGGATGAACTTAATCTTTGTAACTCAACATCGATACAATGTGTTCTGAATCCATAATACGTGAGTCCTGCACTCTCTTGCATCGTTGTTTCTCCAGCAAATATCCAGTCCATGATAATTATAGGATACACATATTAATGTTAATGGTGTTTTAATTTCACCGTATTAAAATTCCGTGCCAAACACAACAGTACAACAGATAAACCAATACATCTTGGCAACAAAAATACAATTGCCTGGGTATTATCATACCAAAGACAAAGAAAAACCAAAGGATCGCATCTCATTTGCATATAACAATGGATGGAACTCTTTCTATGGCTTATCTTACATCTATATCTCGTATGTTACATGTAATCCTCTAACCATGAATCATCTTTATAAAATGATTGTTTACTAGTACTCCTCTGTTTTCTGTGAATGTGATAATTGGAGCAAATTAACACAAGAGAATTACAAGCGTCTTAAAACTTTCCAACATGGAGTTTGCTAAGTTATTCTTAATCCACCAAAGTTCACACGATGGGAAATGTGCCAGTAACTGATGGATATACTTCTTATATATGCTAAAATAGACGCAAAAAATATCATTCTTATAAAGTCTTTGTAGTGTGGACACTTATTGTCTCGCAAAACAAGTCTTTAGCGAAGGACTCTTTTCCGTCCTGTCAAATTTTGTGTCAGATCAAAGAGGTTTTATCTCCAATATTTTTGTATTCTCAAAAGATACACCTTGCATACTCACCTGCTGGTCTGGCTGGGCACAGGCATTTTCCCTTCTTAAAACTGTTGGAAAACTATTAGATATGTTCGATCGACAATTCATAGATTTCATACGTAACAACGAAATTCACGTGTACCCATTGGTCCAGATTTTCAACGCTTCAGTTCTGTATTTGGGGACTGTAAACCGTGTGACATATGGTCTTACGTACATGTAAGAAACACAAGTGATAATAAAAAAGAATAAAAATTTGCTTGCAAACTTATTGTATCTACAAAGCTTTCAAATACCTTAACGTGCAAGTTGTGCCTTTCTCGAAATGAAGACATTCCCTGTCATGCAAAGCTTTCGACTAGAGCCATATCTGCTTGTCACAACGAATCGTGGGACTCAATCGTTAACATTTTTGACATCAGGCTTAAAGCAGAACGTTTGGTCTTTAAGAGGAAGATCTTTTTTTCATTGTCCATTGGCGGTATACTAAAACGGGTCTAACGGAACTTCAGGAGAAAGACATTAGATACCTGAATTTAAAATTATGAGTTTGTGTTTGCGCGCAGTACCTAAGATTCTGTACAGCGTACTCGCACATATAAATATGTTGCATGGACAATTGTGAATGACATTGTACATGAGGTTGTCATTGTTGTTGACATTTTATCTTCCTCTTTTTATTGCAAAAGGACGTATGCATAAACTTATGCTCGAATTTGTTCTACATTAAATTTATTTATAGGGGAAATAAAATATGAATGAATAAATACAAGCACGCTAAAAATATATAAATGCAGTCAAATGTGATATTCTTCTAATCTGTAAAAAAGAAACTTAAGGTAATCAAAAAAGAGAAAATTTATGGTGAGAAAGCAAATTATAAAGAAACAGACTGGAATCAACTTAGCGATCAATTGTTGTTTTACGTCCCTTGCATCATTTATATGAGATGTGCAAAGAACAAAGAGAAACTTGTCTAATAATTATTTATTATGATCGTATTGATACAATTTCTGTGCAATTTAAAAGCAGATAGACCTGATTTTATTTTTCATTTATTTTTTCCGGTCTATTTACTAGATACATATTCACGAGATCAAGGTAAGTTTATAATGTCTTCCTTAAATAAACGCTACAATTTTCAATAAAAAAAGATTATAATACATTCAATTGACGAGACATTTTAGCTCTTTACAAAGATTTATTAAAAATCAGTACCACATTGGGATACCAAATTTTCCCCCACTGTTTAGAAAGATATTAATATTTTTGGAAATAAATCTTGTCTCAAAATGAGCCACAAAAATTTTCCCCCTATATAACTCAATAGAATAACGTCGAAAATGTTTCTACAACTATAACGTGCACATGCTTTGGATTCGAGAACACAAAAAAAGATAATTTTTTTTTCAGAGACTGAGAGACGAAGTAGTGGAATCATATAACCAATTTTCATATTATGTTTATGGACACTCTATAGTTCTGCAAAAAACGTTACATGGGTTAACTATCATTTTTACAGTGAAAAAGTTTACAGTGTTAAGTACGGCTCCGTGTAAAAATCATGCAGAGGGTGATTCATGGGGGGTTTCAGAATTTCTTCAAACTTTGCATGTTGGTAGAGTTTGCCAAGATACTCCAAAAAAAAAATATAATTTTTTTTTAATTCTGCCTTTGGTATCCATGGCAACCGATAAACTGTTTTGGGCAAAAAATGGCTGAAATTTCCTCTAAAAACAGGCAAAAATACCAATAATGAAGATTAATTGAAAAGAAAACTAAACTATAAAACACATTTATGTTTATTTCTTATTAAAATACAGCATAAGTAGTTACTATCCATATCTAGTCAAAATATTTTTATGACCAGTAATGTGTTCTAATTTTAAGCTAAAAAGGGGAGATAATCCATATTGGAAAAAAATGTAAAATATTCATTTTTTAGGATTTTTATCTATCAAAAATTTCTAAAAACCCCACAGCCAAACTAAAAAGCCATGCTAGTTTCATAGAGACTATAGTCTAAAGTCAATAAAATTATTAAAACATTTTTGTGCAAATGATTATTAATTTTCCAAAACAACTGATGAATTTTGTACAAAAAAGGTAATTTCACTTTTTTTGTCACAGTCCAATATATGCCATATATGTTTGCATGTAAAAAATAAATAGCATTTCAAAACCATTTTTTTATATTTCCATTTTAAAATACAATTAAATTATTTACTTTTCATAATTAATCCAAATATTACCACGTCCAGTAATAGTTTTTAATTTTAAGCTGAAAAGGGGAGATAATCCATGTCGAGAAAAACTGAAATTTTCAATTTTTAAAGGATTTACAGCTAAATTCAGCTATATTATAAAAAATTTAAAGAAAAAAACACTACAGCCAAACAGAAAGGCAGTGTTTATTTCCTAGACACCATACCTTATGGCAAATTAAATATTAAAAACATTTTGTGCAATTGATTATTAATTTCCAAAAGCCATTGAAGAGTTTTATACAAAAAATGGGAAATTCACTTTTTCGTCACAGTCAAATAAATGTCATGTATATATTTTATATGCATGTTAAATTATAAATAGCATTTCAAAACAATTTCTTTATAGTTCCAAATCCAAATACAAAACAATTATTTATTTTCATTAATCAAATTATATCTACAGTATTATTTCTAATTTCAAGCTGAAAGGGGGAGATAATTCATGTTGACAAACAAAAAACAACAAAATATAATTTTTTGAGGATTTCAGAAAATAAAATATATCTATGATTTAAAAATAGCCAAACAAAAAGGCTGAGTAGGTTTCATAGATACCATAACCTATGGAAAATTAAAAAAAATCATATGCACAAAAATCATTGTGATTAATAATTTCACCAAAAAAAAAGAAGTAGCATTCATCTTTTGTCAGAGTCCAATAAATACACCATGTACACATGCCAGTACATGTTTACATGTAAGAATATCAGTTTACAGTTTAAAATAAATTCCTTTACATTTCCAAATTCAAATACAACACAAATTATTTTTTTCATTAATGAACAGTAAAATGTAAAAAAAAAAAACATTTGAAAATATTAATCATATTGATATTGATTACTAGATACACTTATCATATAATCATTGTATATGTAAACACAATTTTTAAAGTTTTACATCTTTGTAAGGTGCAGTCATGCCACTCATCATCAGAATATCACTAATCTCCCCTGCTTCTCTTCTGTAGTAAGTGACTGTCCTTTGTTTGTTAGCCTCTTCTAAAAGCACTTAAGATCCTTGGGAAGAGAATTGCTGCCTGATTAACATTATCCAAAGTACCGTCATGGAATCCACTGAACTCTAATCTCTGCTTTTTGACAGCTTTAAATATCTTATTTTCCATTATTCCTAAAATAATAATTTCAATATACATGTACTTATCATTTATCAATTAAGAATTCTTTAGTTTATGCTACATTATTATTAAGGTACTAAAATGGTTATTTTGATTTTATAAATTACTTTACATGGAATATCAAGTTTATATAATGCAGTAATTTCATTAAAAATCTATAAATGGTTGCATGACATATATTCCCCCACCTTTGGAGTCTTATTAGTTGGTGGTGTTCAATGTTGTTTTCTTGCTGTCTGTAATGAATAGTGTAACCTTTTCCTTCAAAACCATGATGCAGCCCATCGCATACATTCTGTGAAAATAAAATGGGGTTTAATTCATCTAAAAAACAATAATACTAATTTATGAAATACAGTAAAACAAAGTTATAACAAAGTCACCGGGACCTATGAAATTACTTTGCTACATCAATTACTCGTTATATCCATATAAGGAATTTGTTAAATTTATATACTCTAAATCACATTTTATTCACGAGAACTTTATTTTCGCATAATTACGCGAGACAGTGTGCTCGCAAAAATTAAATTCTCGCGTATAAAAGTAATCCTTAAGATTATATAGAACTACAAGAGGCCCAGGGGCCACAGCGCTCACCTGAGCACATCGGGCTTGAATTTAATCCCCCCCCCCTTCAAGGCGTTCATCATTTGAACAAACTAGAATCTACACTACCTGAGGATGATTCCATATATAAATACCCCGGGTATCACTAATCATAGCTCTGAAGTACTTGAAAAGAAGATTTTAAAAGGTTTCCCTATATATCCCTATGTAAAACTTGGGTCGGCCATTTTGGCCCCACCCTATCCCCAGGGCTGGGGGTCATGATTTGAAAAAAAAACTTGAGTCTACACTACCTGAGGATGGCTTCCCTATCGGTTTCATCTTTCCTGGCCCAGTGGTAATTGAGAAGGATATTTCCTATATATTCCTATGTAAAACTTGGGTCGGCCATTTTGGCCCCACCCTTGCCCCTGGGGTCATGATTTGAACAAACTTGAATCTACACTACCTGAGGATGATTCCAAATGAGTTTCATCTTTCCTGGCCCAGTGGTTCTGGAGAAAAAGATTTTAAAGGATTTTTCTATATATCTATGTAAAACTTGGGTCGGCCATTTTGGCCCCATCCTTGCCCAGGGGGTCATGATTTGAACAAACTTGAATCTACACTACCTGAGGATGATTCCACATGAGTTTCATCTTTCCTGACCCAGTGGTTTTGGAGAAGAAGATTTAAAGTTTTTTCTATATATTCTTATGTAAAACTTTGTTATTCTTGAGAAGAAGATTTTTAAAGATTTTTCCTATATATTCCTATGTAAAACTTTGGTCGGCCATTTTGGCCCCACCCTTGCCCCGGGGGTCATGATTTGAACAAACTTGAATCTACACTACCTGAGGATGCTTCCACATGAGTTTCATCTTTCCTGACCCAGTGGTTTTGGAGAAGAAGATTTTAAAGATTTTTCTTTATATTCTTATGTAAAACTTTGTTATTCTTGAGAAGAAGATTTTTAAAGATTTTTCCTATATATTCCTATGTAAAACTTTGGTCGGCCATTTTGGCCCCACCCTTGCTCCGGGGGTCATGATTTGAACAAACTTGAATCTACACTACCTGAGGATGCTTCCACATGAGTTTCATCTTTCCTGGTCCAGCGGTTCTGGAGAAGAAGATTTTTTAAAAATGCCATTAATTTTTAACAAATTCATGATTATCTCCCCTTGGAAAAAGGCGCGGCCCTTCATTTGAACAAACTTGAATCTCCTTCACCCAAGGATACTTTGTGCCAAGTTTGGTTGAAATTGGCCAAGTGGTTCTTGAGAAGAAGATGAAAATGTGAAAAGTTTATGACGACGACGACAACGACAACAGACAACGGACAAATTTTGATCAGAAAAGCTCACTTGAGCCTTCGGCTCAGGTGAGCTAAAAACCAAAATTTGTGAAAATTTTGTCTCGTTAATCAAGAGTCAATGACTATCTCACGAAAATAAGGTGTCATGAAAATTTAGTGATCTACAGTAGGTGGGGATCTAAAAACTTCGCTATATCTGTGAATTCACTATATCCGTGTTCGTAGTAAACGAGTTTTGCTGTATGTGAAACATCTTTTCTACTAGTGTAATTTTCATCATTTGCAATATGTCTCCAGTTTTAACTTTAGTACAATTTAAACAGAATCTACACTACTTGAGGCTTCTTCCAATGACTTCCATATCAGTACAATATTAATCATGGCTTAAGGTGCACAATTATCATTTAACCCTCAATCAAATATCAAAAGTATAAAGACATGCAAACGTTACAATGTTTGTACGGTACATATTGGAAGCAACTACAGTGGTACCTCATTTATTCGGACGCTTTGGTTCCTAGTCAAATTGTCCGTATATGTGAAGCGTCCGGATATCTGAAATACCAGTTAAACAAGACAAAATAACGTTAAAAATTTTCGTTCCGATGAAAAATCGTCTGAATACTGAAGCATTCGGATATCTGGCGTCCAGATATCTGAAGGTTCACTGTATTTATCATCTAAAACTACAATTTTAAATGTGAGCATCGAGCAGTGTCTTTGGAAACTAATCTTTCAATTTTGGCTGTATAAAGTAAAAAAGAAACTCTACTGTTTTTGGTGATGAAGTAAATAAAGTATGCAGTAAATCGACAAAAACCGTGTGTCGCTT